CGACTGGTCAGTGCCACCAAATGGCTTTACAAGGGAACTTTTAATATTTTCTCTTTGGGCCAAAGTCCAGGCCTATGAAGATTCAAGCAGTCCTGCAAGGCCTGCAACAGCAGGTCCCATTTTTTAATTTTTAAAAATAATTATCTATTTATTTATGTATTTATTGGAGAGGCTTTTGCTATAGGGCACATGCGCTCATCAGAAAAAGAGTCAGAGACAGAAAGCGAGAAATCACCCCCCAGGGGGATGGCCACGCCGCAATCCCTTCTCCTCTCGGGATCTTGGGCACGCATGCACGCACACGTGCCCAACGTGAGTTTGGGATTCAAACCACGGTCAGCTACATGAGAGTCCAGTGACATAACCATTATGCCAACTGCTGGTCCCAATAATAATTTATGTTTTATTTATTATTATTATTTTAATTTGCTATAGGGCACATGTACTCACCAGAGAGAGACGGGGGTTAGAGGGATTGGGGGCAGAGAGAAGTAAGAAAACAAGCCACTAAGTCCAGGACTCAAACCAAAGTCAGCCACGTGGGAGTCCAGTGCCTCAACCACCAAGCCACTCCTGGCCACTCAGTTACATTTTTAATCGTAATTTACCTCATCTACTTAAGGCTTATACTTTTCTTTCCCCTCCCTCCTCCTTTTCTTCCTTCCTTTTTTATTTTTTTGCATAGGGCACTTGTGCTCACTGCTGAAAAGAGACAGAGAGAAGGAAAGTGATCAAATCAGCCCCCCACCAGGGGAATGGCCATGCCACAATCCATTCTCTTCCATTCTCCTCTCGAGATTTGGGATATGTATGCACATTTGTCTGCCATGAGTTTTAAGCCTCCAAGTGTGGGGCTCGAACCGTGGTCAGTCATGTAGGAGTCCAGCGCCTTAGCTGCCACTCCACCTGATGGCCTCAAGGCTTGTAATTTTCAATTTCTGTAGGTATTATCTTCATAAAGGGAGATAAGTATGATTAGGGAAGTGCAAAGTGATATTCTGGTAAACAGAGCTAGGGGAAACTAACGTCATAGACAGGGGGTCCCACGTCGTGTGAGCCGCTAAGTAGTATAAATAAGGACATTAATTGGAGGCTGGCAGGCGGCATGGTGATTAAGGTGCTTGACTCACACATGGCCAACCACAGTTCAAGTCCCAGAGCTGGTGGCTTGCTTTCTCACTCTTTCTTTCTTTGTTACTGTCTGGTCAAAATTGAATAATAATAATAAATAAAATTTAAAATAAATCTAAAAAAAAAATAAAAAAGAACACCAGCTTAAAGATACGCACAGGCAGGCCCTCTGTGCAGGCTTTGCCAGCACTACCACCCAATGCAGAATGCACTCTTATCCCTGCTGTACAAGGGGACTTCAACAAAATCGCTGAAGGGCCAGCAGGCGGCATGGAGGTTAAAGTGCTGGATACCATATGGCTGGAAGTGTGGCTCAAGTCCCAGACCCGGCAGCTGGAAAATCACACAGGCCAGTTGTGCCTGGGTGCACAAAATCCCCAAAAGATACTGGAGGAGAAGGGACTGTGGTATGGCCAGCCTCCCTGGGGGATGATTTCTCACATTCTCTCTCTTTTCTCTTTCTTCCCCTTCTTCTCTGGTGCACTCACGTGCCCTATAGAAAAAGTTTAAAAAAAAAAAATCAAAAAAAGAAAAACAAGCTGTGTGTGTGTGTGTGTGTGCGCGCGCACGCATGCACAAAACACCTAGAGGAGAATGGAGAAGGGATTGTAGTACTCCAAGGTGTGATTTCTCACTGTCTCCCCACCCCACCCTATGGAAGAGCAGATTTAAAATAGTTTGTGGGGGGACCAGCAGTTAGTGTAATGGCTATGTCACTGGACTCCCACGTAGTCAACCGGTTCGCGTCCTGGACCCGGTGGCTTAAAACTCACACCGGGCGCGTGTGTTTGCGTACCCAAAATCCCGAGAGGCGAAAGGATGGAGAAGGGATTGTGGCATGGCCATCCCCCCTGGGGGGTGATTTCTCGCTTTCTGTCTCTCTGTCTCTGTCTCTCTCTCTGTCTGGCGAGTGCATGCGCCCTATAGCGAAAACCTCTCAAAAAAAAAAAATAGTTTGTGGGACCAGCAGATGGCGTAATGGTTACGTCATTGGGACTCTCACATAGTCGACAGGGTTGAGTCCTGAACCCAGTGGCTTAAAACTCATGCCAGGCGCGTGTGCATGTGTGCCCAAGATCCTGAGAGGAGACTGGAGGAGAAGAGATTGCAGTGTGGCCATACCCCCTAGGGGGTGATTTCTAGCTCTCTCTCTGACAACCACACATGCCCTATGGTAAAAAAAATAAAATAAAAATTAGAAGTTCGTTTTGGTGCCCCGGCAAAAAATTGAGATTCATAGTTTTTTGATAATATAAATTTCCATTCATTTTTTATTTTTGAGGAGTGTTTTTATATTTATTTTATTTAACTGTATTTATTTATTTATTTTTAATTTGACCAGAAAGGGACAGAGTGAGAGGGAAAGTGAGAAAGCAAGCTGTCAGGCTGGGGACTTGTAGTATGGTCAGCCACGTTGGAGTCCAGTGCCCTTAATCACAATGCCACCTGCTGCCCCTGTTTTTTGTTTTTTTTTCTTTTTTTGGGGGGGGGGTTTGCTATTGGGCGCCTGCGCTCACCAGACAGACACAGAGAGATAGAACACAAGAATACACCCCCAGGGGGGATGGCCATGCTGCAATCCCTTCTCCTCCATTCTCCTCTGGGGATCTTGGGCACGCACGCACAAGCGCCCAGCATGAGTTTAAGCCACCGGGTCTAGGCCTCGAACCGCGGTCGACTACACGGGAGTCCAGCGACATAGCCATTACGCTAACTGCTGATCCCCCCCGCCCCTGTTTTTGAGTTTTTTTTTTGTCATAGGCACATAGGCTCACCAAAGACAGACAGGAAGAGGAAAGGTGAGAAATCACCCTCCAGGGAGGCTGGCCACACCGCAATTCCTTCCCCTCCGGTCTTCTGGGATTTGGGGCACACACGTACATGCCCCTGGGATGATTTTCAAACTGCCTTGCCTGGGAGGCGAACCGCGGTTTCTTATGTGGGAATCCAGCGCCTTAACCATTACACCACCTGCTGGACCTGTGAACTTTTTGAAGACGCTGCTAACACCGGAAGTGCCCAAGATCACAGCTACTACGTGCTGGGTGGGGAGCGCAGACTCGCTGCTATGTTATGCAGCTCCCTGAAAGGGGCCACAAAAGCATGATATATTATTACTAAAAGACGCTTGGGAGCAAAGCACTTGGGAATATGCAGAAACCGGAAGCACACGGTGAACGCTCTCCGACGGCGCCCGGGATGGGCGGGCCCTCCGAACCAGGCTGCGCGCCACTTCCGGGAGCGGCGAGTGCCGTGGAGCTTCTCACCGGCGGGGCACCGCCGCGCCTGCGCGGAGCTAGCCGGAGCTGGGCCGGACAGGGGCGCGCGCTCTGTGGGCTGGATGTCCGGGCTGCGTGCGCTGCTGGGGCTCGGGCTGCTGGTTTCTGGCTCGCGCCTGCCGCGGATTGGCAGCCAGGCC